CCACTACACATATCATCATACTTAGCAACAGAGTATAGGAGAAAGAGCGCTGACTCTGGAGTCAGAAGACCAGGTTCAAAATCCTTCCTCTGACAGCCAAGTCATTAAGGAACCTTCCTAATCTGTAAAAATGAATGGGTCAGACCAGATGGCCTCCAAGATCTCTTCCAGCTCTACATCTATGATTACAGGATCCCATAAATCAACAACGACTCTTCCTTCTCCATCTCCCTCCATAGACAATTAGCTGTCATTTCCTGTAGATTCTATCTTTACAGACTCATGAAGAATGCTATTCACCTCCAGAGAAAGAACTGATGGAGTTTAAATGCAGATCGAAGCACACCATTTTTCACTTCATTTTTTTTTGTGGGTTTTTTTTTGTGTGCTGTTTCGTCTTTCACAACATGACCAATATGGAAATTTGTTTTGCATGACTGCACATGTATAACCTATATAAAACTGTTTATCATCTGGGGGGGGGAGAGGAAGGAGAGAGAGAATTTGGAACTCAAAATTTTTAAAATGAATGTTAAAAATTGTTTTATATTCAACTGGGAAAAAATAAAATATTATTTCATATATATATAGTCTACCTTTACGGCATCTCTTACCTTAGCTGTTTACTCTTCACTCTCATCCTAGCCTAGTTCAGGGCCTCATCACCTTTCAAATGGACCATTACAACAGTTTCCAAATTTGTCTCCTGCCCCCAGTATCTCTCCGTATTTCAAATTCTTCTTTATATAGCTGTTGAAATAATTTTCTTAAGGCCTAAATTTAATCACAGTTCCCTACACACACACAAACCTTCAAAGGCTCCCTAATGCCTGTACGCTAAAATATAAACTTCTCCTAGCCAAGCATTTGAGAGTCTCTGTAACCCAGTCTTTCCCACTACAGGGCACTCTCTGGCTTCCCTGTGTATGTGCGAACCATATCCTATCCCTGCAATATTCTCCTCCTTCATCTCTGCCTTCCAGAATCTTATGTTCCCCCTTCAAGGCTCACCTTAGGTACTAAATAAAACCTTTTTGGTTAGCCCTGATCATTCAGGCTATTAGAACAGGCTATTGAATATTCATAAAGTCTGTAGTCTGGTCTCTCTTTTGCTCTTCACTCTCATTCTTTACTATACTTATCTACATTTATGTGGTAGCCCCCTTATAGACTACTTTGTTCTTTGTCTAACATGCATAATAATAAATATTTACTGAAATAAGTACAGCTATCCCTAAGTCTAAGTAAAAGCTTTGGCTTCCCTCCTGATTTGGGGGAAGGGGAGAAGGGTGAGGAGGGATATGATGCTTCATGTTTTGTTTCCTGGTACGTAGAAAGGGAGTTTTGAAATATTTTAAGAATTTCCAGGCAAACTGCGGCTTTGTGAAAGCCAAACAACAACTCTGGCCATAGTGATTTTAAAAGTTAAAGAGCCCTCCCTGGGGTTTTCTATTTGCCTTTATTTTTCTTCTCTCCTCTCTGCAACTCTGCCTGATTCTTTCTGAAGGTAACTGAGTTCATTAGGAACAAGAGAGGATAGCTGAAAGAAGGCTCTACAATTAGAGTCTACC